CCAAATGCGATCAAATTTTAGTATAAATCTGAATGTTCTATAGACAATATATTGTAACACCCACTTCGGATCACACAACAAAATTTTTAAGTTGAGAATTCATATTAAAAAGTTTCATGTTCAAAAATAGTAGGTCTTTAAATAGATGTAAAAATCATATCTAGAATTTTTAAAAAGTCTTTAAAAAGAAAATCCATAAGAAATTTCGAGTTCTCCCTTTCACCAGATATGGTGTGTTAGAGAGTGACAAAGATTAGGTGAAGAGAACTAAACATATAAAACACATTAATGAATTAGAAGTTATACCTAGAAAATATAAAAGGCCTAACGGCATGCTGCCTAAAAAATAAACCAATTAAGAGTTCATTCTAGAAACACGAGAACAGGGCAACTGAAAAAGCCAAAGGTTGACCCTAAAAGGAGAGTTAAAAGATCATGAATTGATACTGTATTAAGAGCCCGTTTGGCCAAGCTGCCAAAATCTGCTTATTTTGAAAAGTACTTTTTTCTAAAAGTACTTTTTTCAAAAGTACTTTTGAAAAAAAATAATTTGTGTTTGACCAATTCATTTAAGAAGTACTTTTTACAATATTTGATAAACAAATTGTGTTTGGCCAATCTTTATAAAAAGTACTTTTGAGTGTCAAATTATCAAAAAGGATAGTACCAAGCTTTTATAATTATATTAAAAAGAAAAATAAATTTAAATATTTATTATAAGAGACTGTTATTATTTTTTATTTAATTTAATTAAAATATAAACATAAAGTAAACATACATACTAAATATTTAAATCATTGTAACATATATATTTATACCAAAGCAATAATATTATCTAGTATAATTACTTGTTATTTTTACCATGAAATAATAAGCAAAGTCACCACACATGATAATATTTCTCAAAAATTTCATCTCTAATTCTATCACGCAACGCCTCCATAATAGTAGAAGACTTGTCTTGCATTTCTAAAGAAATACCAGAAGACCCATCTCCTTCCTCAATCTCTGCAGTAATGTCTTCATTAGCATAATAGTTGAATTTCTTATCAGTAGAAGAACGTCGTCGGATGAAATTATGTATAGCCATGGTAGTTGTAACAAGATGAATCTGAGTGATAATCCAGAAGCAGTTGAATTCACAATGGTTAGATGATCTTATGGAGCAGGAAAGAATTACATTGCAGAATCTGGAAAAATGGTCCATGATAGAAGAGAGCATCATGAAGCAGACGTCAAGAGTCAAATGGATCTAGCTAGGGGATTCGAATACAAAATATTTCTCAGCTGTGGTCAAAGAGAGAAGTCAGAAAAAACTTATTAAGGAGATCACATCTTTAGAGGGAATGAATCTTACTGAATCAAAAGACATCCAAGAGGAGATAGTGAAGTTTTATAAATCCTTGATGGGGTCTTCAGCAAAGGAGTTACCAGCTATTAACAAAGTGAATATGAAGGGTGGACCAACATTATCTCAACAACAAAAGCTAGATTTAATTGCTCCAGTCTCTGAGGAAGAAATTCAAAGAGGACTTGAGTCCATAGGTGAAGACAAAGCTCCTGGGATTGATGGTTATAATGCTACTTTCTTCAAAAAGCATGGGTTATCATTAAGGAGGAAGTATGTGAAGCAGTAAAAGAGTTTTTTAACAAAGGGAAGATATACAAGGCCATCAACTATACAGCCATTACATTACTACCAAAAAATGACAAGCCAATAACAGTGAAGGAGTATAGACCAATAGCCTGTTGCACTGTTCAGTACAAACTAATTTCAAAGGTCATAGCAGCAAGAATTCAAACAGTCATTGCTTCCATAATCAGTGAATCACAGGAAGGCTTCATCCCAGGGAGAAAAATTGGAGACAACATCATCCTAGCACATGAATTAGTGAAAGCCTACACAAGAAAACATGTGTCCCCAAGATGCATGATAAAGATAGACTTACAAAAGGCTTATGATTCAGTGGAATGGATATTCTCGGAACAAATCATGGAGGAGTTGGGATTTCCTAATCAGTTTATCAAATGGATCCTAGAATGCATGCAAACAGTCAGCTACACTATACTAATTAATGGGGAGCCTTCAGTACCTTTTAATGCAGCTAAAGGTCTTAGACAAGGAGACCCTATGTCTCCTTTTCTATTTTCTATAGCAATGGAATACTTGAGTAGGAGCCTAAGAGGAATGACAAAGAAGGCAGGTTTTCACTATCATCCGAGATGTTCAAAATTAGCAATCACACATTTGTGCTTTGCTGATGACTTATTGCTTTTTGCCAGAGGTGACATATCATCAGTGGTTACTCTTCAACAATGTTTTAATCAGTTCTCAGAAGCTTTAGGCCTCAAAGCAAACTTGGGAAAAAGTTCAATATACTTTAGAGGAGTGAGCAGGGAGGATAGAGACAGAATACTACAGGAGTTGGGTTTGTCTGAAGGTGAGCTTCCTTTTAAATATCTTGGGGTTCCTCTATCGACCAAGAAGCTATCCCTGGTTCAATGGCAACCACTTATTGAAAGGATAGTACCAAGGATATCATCGTGGACTGCAAAAAAGTTATCCTATGCTGGAAGAGTGCAACTGGTGCAAACAGTCCTATTTGGGGTACAAGCCTACTGGGATCAACTCTTTGTTCTACCTGCCAAAGTACTAAAAACTATTGATGCTTATTTTCGAAGTTACATATGGTCTGGATGCAGCACTATCGGTAAGAAAGCTCTAGTGTCCTGGGAAAGAGTTTGTGCTCCTAAGAGTGTTGGAGGTCTGGGTTTGGCTAACTTATAGTTATGGAATAAGGCTGTTATAGCTAAGAACTACTGGGACCTAGCACATAAGCAAGATAAGTTGTGGATCAAAAGGATTCATGCGTCTATATCAAAGGCCAAGCAATAGAAACTATGACAATACCTCAGCATGCATGTTGGATGCTTAGGATGATCATGGAAGCTAGATCAATATTTGAAGGTATACAATTGAGGTTTAAGAAAGGTAAGAGTATTACAAGACAAATATATATCTAATTGATTGGTGAGGAAACAAGAGTACCATGGAAAAGCATGATATTTAGCAATGCAGCTCGACCTAAAGCAAGATTTACACTGTGGTTGCAACTACAGGGCAGACTGATAACCACTGATAGGTTAGCTAAATGGGGACTGGTAATAGCTACTCAGTGTGTGATGTGCAAAAATGCTGAGGAAACACATGAGCATCTCTTTCTGGAATGTGACTTTGCCAAAGAAGTATGGCATAGAGTGAATCAATGGGCACATGGCAAAACCAATGACTACAAGGGGATGGCAATAGCATCAATTGGAGATCATCAGCAGATCAGAAGGGAAAATTCAAGCTGCACAAATATTCAAGATGATATACACGAAATTTGTTCATAGTATTTGGATAGAGAGAAACATGAGAATATTTGAAAAAATGTATAGAAATAGTGAATCAATAGCTAGAGATATTGCTTGTATTTGTAGTATGAGAGCACCAGCAAAAGCTAGAGAAATAGTTCAAGCATTTAGATTCTAGATAGCATTAGTGTTAGAACAGAACATGAAGTAGCTAACTGTGTTAGTTAGCTACTGGTTTGTAAAGATACTTTGGTGATGAATAAAAATATTTAGTTACCAAAAAAAAGATGAATCTGAGTGTCAAACTTGAAAGAAGGCATTGAGCGTAAAATAGAAAACCTATTTTTCCAGACTCCAAATGTTCTTTCAATTGTACATCGAGACTGGAGTGGAAAAAATTGAATGCTTCATTTGGATGTCTAAAACTAAAGTTGCGCTTGAAAACTGGGAGATGATATCGCTCACCCTTATACGGTCCTAAATAACCCATCGTTGTTGAATAGCCTGAATCAACTAAATAATATTTACCTACACCAAGTAAAAAAGAGTTAATTAAGATGAATAAAAATAAAATCTACATATTAAAATAACACAAGGCATAGTATTAGTGTTGCTTACCTAATGGAGGATGAGGAAAGTTAAGGTTTTGCCTTCTAAGTGCCTGATCAAATATTCTAGCATCATGTGCAGTACCTTCCCACCCAGGCCATACAAATGTGAAGCACATGTCCCAATCACATACAGCCATTATGTTTTGTGAAGTGAAGCCTTTTCTACCAATGTATTTGATTTGTTCCTTAGAGCAAACAATACAAGGCACGTGTGTGCCATCAATAGCTCCAATGAAATTTTTAAAATATGGCCAATACCTGTCATCTTCTCTTATTTTAGGATTAATATCAGAAAAGGTTAGATCTTTTGGCTTAATAATATCCATAGCCAATTTCAAACATGCTATCAAAACATGATGAAAATGTCTGCTAACAGTCTCTCCGGAGTGTTGGAATTATTCTTGAATCATTCGATTCTCTACACCATGTCCGACCGCCAGTAAAAACATAGCAACCATCTCCTCTATGGTCATTTTTCTTGTTGCTTTCAAATCATATTGTTCATTTAGTGTTTTGCATCAGTCAAGAAATATATGTTTTTCCATCCTAAACATCTCATAACATCTCTTATCATGCCCTTCAAGTATCTCCTTGATGAAATAAAATCCTGTATGAGGAGAAGTTCTGCATGGAGTTTTTAGACAAAAGTTTAAATAATATTCTGATGCGAGAGCTATACTGGAAATTACCAAATCAAGTACATCATCATCGTCATCTACTTCATATATAAGAACTTCGTCAACATGCTCATCTTTATTTACTGTGAATAACATATCTATAAGAAAAAGAATAAAATAAAATTACTTGAATAACAATCTATATACTTATTATAAAAAAATTAAATTCAAAAATCACCTAAGTACAACGACATAAATTCCAATATTTCAAAATAAATATAAGTAACTTTAATAAAAGTCAAATATAGATTCCAATAACCATAAAGCATAACTAGAACAACATTTTAAAGCAAATTTAAAGTTTCAATAACTAGAAAAAATAAAATGCAGATAATAATAGGTAATATCATTAAATTTATTCTTTTTGAAGCTCAGACATCTTTTTCAACCACTGCAATTGTAACTCTGGATCTTCTTTTGCTAAAAACATTTCTCTCATTGGTTGCTTGACTACTAGCACACTTGCTTTCCACCATAAATCGCTACCAACAATCATACCGGATAAATTACGAACAACATCCATTACATACTTAATACTAAGTGAAGAGTCTTTTGACCCCATATTCATTGAAGAGAGTGATTGTATGGCTTCAGCAATTTTCTCTATTGATGATGTAATTCTTAGACTGGTATTGAATTTATTTTTCTCCTTTTCATTTATAGCAGTTGATGCTTTTCTTTTTCTTCTCTCACCACTCTCACTACCACGCACTTTTTCAATCACATTCGATTCTTCTGGATCAGTTTGTTCGAATCCCTTTTCTGTATTCTTTTCTATGCCATCAATATTCACAAACTCTTCATTGTCTACAGGAGTTCCGAACTCATCTGGTTGAAACCATCTGCTTCCTTGTATACCATCTGGTAACACTCCAGATGACGGTGACAACGCATGCTCACGGTTTCAACAACATCCTTAAAACAATACTCCATCAGTTGTCGATGTTGTAAACCTTACTCTCTAAATTTCTCTACATTTTGATTCTCCTACAAATGTGAAGAACAACAAGACAATTTAAAATACCAAAGAAAATAAATAAATAAATAAAATTATGTTAAGTGAAAATTAAGTAGTAGAATTAAAGGTCGTGATGGCGCCGGAAACTAGTCTCTTTTCTGTCACGACCCAAAATCCGTTAAAGGTCGTGATAGCCCCGGACACCACTATCAGGCAAGCCAAAACCAAGAAGTTAATTAAATTCTCGTGTTAGGATTTATTGAAATCATTTTCTTTATACATTAAACAATAAATAATGAAATTCACTAAAATAAGATGATGTCTTTAACAAACTTAATATTGAACAATCCCATAATCATCCCAGAACACAGTGTCACAAGTGCATGAGCTATTTCTAGGAAATCAAATGAAGTATAATAACTGTCCGGAATACAAATTTGGACAGAAAGTAAATACTATACACTGGAAGAGACTATGCCGGCTGCAGGTCGCCTTGAGAGATGCAGCTCACCTAAGTCTCAGTATCATCCATGCTGCTATGCCCATTAGGCCGCTAGAGGTACATGTGCCTGTGTAACAAAAATGCACAGCAAGTGTAGCATGAGTACAAAAACAACGTGTACTCAGTAAGTATCCCGTCTAATCTCGAAGAAGTAGAGACGAAGGTCGACTTCGACACTTACTAGTGGTCCAATAATAATATACCAATAAGATAGTAAATAGAGGATTTCATAAAAATGGTTGTAACTCAATAGCATGAGGCAAATAAACAATTCTTTCGTTTATAGGAAATTCCCAAGTTCATTTTCATCATTTATACATTTATCTCAGGCCAGGGAGTACAATTATCAACATCTATGAATCTCAAGGCAAGCAATACAAGCACGCGCAAATCATGCCGAGGTCGTACGGCCCGATCCAACAATATTTAAACTGTGCACTGCCAGAGGGTCGAATGGCGCGAATCATAGATGCATCTATTACCCCGCTTGCGAATCATACATGCGACGCGGTCAAATATAAATAAACAATCACCCCGCTCACGAATCATACGTGCGACGCAGGTACACATAGAATCACACATTCAAACAGTCAATCAAGACATCATCAGGGAAACAATTATTCAAGGAGGTGTCAATTTCTCCTTTACAAGTCGAGAAAACAAAATTTAACTCTTTTAGAAAATCATTTACCACTTCGATACGATTAAAGCAATTTAAACTATCAATAAGGTTATAATTATTACAAGTAAAGCATGCTTTTGGGTCCTAGACTACCCGGACATAAGCACAATAGTAGCTACGCACGGACTCTCGTCACCTCGTGCGTACGTAGCCCCCACAAATAGAAGCACACATCCAATTAATTCACCTATGGGGATAATTCCCTCTTACAAGGTTAGAAAGGAGACTCACCTCGCTCTAAAGTTCCATAACCG